TATGTTATATTAATCAATGTCACAATCTAATACTGTAGCAGGCTTTCTTTTGGGTCACCAACCGGCTCCCAATCATGGCATGGAGACTTATTACTGGTTATGAATGCCCAGTATCTTCTGCTTCTTTCTTGCAGACTCTTATAACTCATATGAACCTGTTTTTCTTCATCTATGTTTTGCCTCTGGGGTTTTTACCTTTCTTTCTTTTATTCTGTATGTTTTACTCCATGTCTGATTGGCTGGCAGCTGCCTGCCTAGCTGACCCCAGGCAACTTCCTCTCTTTCCCCCTCATTCTTGCTGTGGGCCATGCCGGAGGAGCAGCGAGTTGCAGTTGAAGTTCCCGGTGTCAGCCCAGCAGAAGGGAAACCTCTGATGGGCCAGTCTCATTTAGGCAAGGCCACGGGACTACAGGCCCCAGGAAGTCTTTTGTTTCTGCTGTGCCTTTACATGTTTGCTGTGGCTGTCTTTCTCTGGTATCTAGCACAGTTTGAGTGGGCATGGGGAGAGCTCCATTGCCTGTAATATAGTGTGTTTATTCCTTGGAAACACCCTGTTCTACTGGGCATTTTTACCTGTGGATTGTCAAGAAGATAACCCTTCTCTAAGCTGTACTGTCTAATTTGATAATAATAATGATAGCGTATACAGCGTTTTGATGAATAAAAATAAATATGAGGGTATGTTCCAAAGCCAAGGTCTGTGAGTCTCACCTAAGGAGCTGCATGGATTGTAACTCAAGTTAATGACCAACAGTTGAGTCCCAGTAGCCCAGCTAGTTTAAATTCTTTCAACCTTAAAGTCGGGAGATGTGCTCACAGATCTTGGAGTACATCACAGCTGAAACAAAGCTTTGAAAATAAAAACAGTTAGACTAAGATATTTTTGTTAAATAACTTTGAGGTGAAGAACCCAAGAAGACAATCTAAAGTTTTAGAAAGGCACACAGTTGAATGTGGAACTCTTTGAGGACAGGAAACAAGAACAAAGCAGCCCAATTATTACCGGCTGACATGCTCTCCTTGCTAGGTTTAGTTGATGATCAAATGTGATGATTAATTTGTTTTTTTCATTTTTTATTATTTTTATCGGACTATACATTTTCCTCTACTCCCCTACCTTCCTCCCCTCTCCCTTCTCCTGTGGTCCCAATTTACTCAGGAGAACTTGTCTTTTTCTCCTTCCTATTTAGATCCTTGTATGTCTCTCTTAGGGTCCTCTAATTTCTTATACCCATTTCAGTTCTCAGTCTCCTGATGTAAAAAAAAACTATTAATGAATAGATATGTACCCTAAAGATTTAATGTAGAGTTGACTGATTCTTTTTCATATATAAAAGTTTAGGTTTGTGATTCCTTTAAGATTCCTTATAAGATTACCTTTCAAGATAATAAAATAATTGGCCCTTTCTTTGTAACTGCAAAATGCCACCTGCCAGTAAAAGACCAGACTAAAACATTTGCTGGCCGCATGGTTAATCTATAACGAGTTGCTTGGGTATGAATGGATGTGGGTTCTTGGGATGATTTGTTTTTCAGCTGTAATACATAAAGTGTTTTAGTCATGTGAGGAAGATGAAAAATATGTTTTTACCTATAATCATTCACTTGAAAAATGGGATGCAACTGTTTTGACTCTGTACTGCCTGGAAGATTCTGTTGAGATATTAAACCCATAAAACAACATGAGACAGAGGAGAGGGAATAAAGAGAGAGAAGGAGAAAAAGAGAAGAAATAAAGAAGGAAACCATCAAGAGAGTCTGTGAGTGCCTTTTTCCTTAATCCCCTTTAGCTAGAGAAGCTTAGCCTCACCATCCCCATCAAAGCTCTGTGCTGCTGGAGGATGGTCCCCAGACAGGGGTATGTTCTCTCCTCTTTTCTTATTCTCTTCCCTCCCCTCTTCTTTCCTCCTACTTATTCTCTCTGCCTGCCAGTCCTGCCTGTCCCTCTCCTACCCAGTTATTGGTTGTCCAGCTTTTTATTTGATCAATCAGGTGCCTTAGGCAAATAAGGTAAAATAGCAACACATCTTTACATAATTAAACAAATGCAGCATAAACAAATGAAGCACACCTTTGCATAGTTAAAGTAATATTTCACATTAGCAAATGTAATACATCTTTGCCTAGTTAAAGTAACTAGGTTACTTTAGGTTACTTTAGGTTAGTTCCATGTAACATGAGGGGAGCCTGTTTGTTTGGGGGTTTCTTTCCCGCCCTGCCCCGCAGCTGTTTAGTCCCAGAGAAAAATCACACACGGATCTCTGTAAATTATAAAGCTGATTGGCTCATTAGGTCTGGCTACTTATTAGCTAACTCTCACATCTTGATTAACCCATTTTTCTGATCTATTTTAGCCATGTGGCTCAGTACCTTTTTCAGTGGGGCAGCTCACATCCTGCTGCTTCGGTGTTCTGGGCAGGAGTGGGAGGAATCAACTTCCTCCTCCCCAGAATTCTCCTGCTCTCCTTGCATTATTTTCACTTCCTGTCTGGTTTTCCCACCTACACCTCCTGCCTGGCCAATCAGTGTTTATTTAAAACATGATTGACAGATTACAGACAATTCTCCCACAACAATTCCATAAAATAGAACATACTATAAACTTCAAAAACTAGACCTCCATAATCCGCATCACTCTCAGCATTATTTTCCTCCACGCTCCCACAGAACAGCCTGTGGAGCTCTGAGCACTCAATAGTTTACCAGACCAAATTTCAAAGTCCTTTCACAATCTTCTCCAAAACATAGCCAAGTCTGTTACAGTAATATCCCAATCTTTGATACCAATCTCTATTTTAATCTGGGTTCCTATTTGCTATGATAAAACATGATGATCAAAGCAACTTGGGGAGTAAAACATTTATTTCATCTTACAGCTTGAAAGGCAGGAGAACACAAAGGGGTGCTGCTTAATGCTTGATCCTCATGGCTTGCTCAGTCAGCTTCCTTATAATACCCAGCACAGCTAGCACAAATAGGCGAAGGCTTCAAAGAAGTGCCTAAACAACCTGTACAAATTAACAAGCTTAAAAAATAAATCAATTCTGGGTGGCATCAACTACACTGAGCCAGAGCCCTCTTGTATCAATCATCAGCCAAGAAAATGCAACACAGTCTTGTGCACAGGCAAATCTACTACTGGGAGCATTTTCTCAGTTGGACTCCAAAGGACTCTAGCTTGTATCAAGCTGATGTAAAACCATCCAGCAGAGCATTTAAGTATCAAATTAATATATATTTGAGTTGTATTCTGTTAGACAAACAAATATATATCCATCTATTAGCATGCAATGTTTCTTAATTAGTAGTAAATAGGACAATTATATGTTCAAATAATTACTTTTAAACAAATTTATTTGCAACTTATTATCATCAAATGTTTTATTTGTACAGCTATTTTTTATTTCTATATACCTTATATGAATGAAAATTTATAGGGCAAAAAATGTCACAAGTAAAACTTTTTTAAGACATCCTGATAGAGGAGACTCCTGACTTTCCCTTCATTCATACACAACAAGCTTAAGAAACATTAACACATTTTTCAAGTTCCTCAAAAGGCAAAAATTAGTTGACAGACATCTATACACTGGGCCTCAGAAAACAATCCCATATATGAGTTTGGGATATTCAATGACACTTGGCAATGAACTGTACTTGAGCCACTTTGTTACATAACTAGAAAAAGATTCTAAACCCTTGAGGTAGTCTGAATGAGAATGGCTTCTACAAGCTTATATGTCTGAATGCTTGGTCCCCAGTTGGTAAAACTGTTTAGAAAGAATTTGGGGGTGTGTCCTGTGGAAGGTGGTGCGTCACTAGAGGTGGGCTTTGAAGTTTCCAAAAAACTGTACAAATCCACATTAGCTCTCTCTGCCTCGTGCTTATGGATCAAGATGTGAGCTCTCAGCTACTGCTTTAGCACCGTGCCTGCCTACTTACTGCCACGCTGCCCATCCTGGTCATGGACTCTAAACCCCTGGAAACATGAGCCCCAAATTAAAGACTTGCTTATGTCAGTTTCTGTGATCACAATGTTTTTGTCACCATGACTGAAAACTAAGGCAACCCCTAACACCATTCTGAGAAGAGAAAGAGAGGAACATATGTGTGGCAATCTAAATGCATCATTCCACACACGTCTCTCTAGAAATAAGAACCAGTCTACAGTATTATATTCTAAGTATTTCAGTGGCCTCCATATATAAGGATCAGGGAAGAAAAGGGCTTTACACTCAAAGACACATTTATCCCTACTAGTTTGTAATTAGCAGTTGCTGATTCTCGAGTTTTACACAACTTGATTTAATATAGATAAACAGAGTCGCCAACTGACAGCCTGACTGTGACGTCAATACCCCCTCTTCTGACCCTACTAAAATCACAAGTTCCACAAATTCCTCCTGGAACATGTTTGTCCATACTGAGTATCTCAGCTTTGTCATAGTCTATTTGAGTAAATACAAGACAATACTTAAAGTTCTAGCAATAGCAAGATCTGAGCATGCAAACATCTCCACAAATTCAAGAAAGAAAAACACATAGGCATCATTTACTTCAAGAATACTCACATAAAAGCTGACACCCCTTTGAAGATTTAGATTCTAAATTTACACAAAGGAGCAGACCTCCTGCAGCCTCAACAGGCTTGTCAGAATAGCCATGTAAAAACAATAACAGATTGCAAGTGTCTAAAAGGATACGAGGAAGGCATGAGCTGTATGTTCAGAATGCAAAATCAGCTCTCATTTTAGAAAGTGGTAAGCCCATTCTTCCAAACTAAAACTTCCACCAGTGACCATCATTGGTACGGAGTAAAAGGAATGGAAATGCAAGTGCAAATGCCAAAAATGTCTGCACTCATTCTCAGCCCAGATGTGGAAACAAATCAAGTGCTTCTTAGATGACAGTGCAAAAAAAAATTCCTCTCAGCTGCAGGGCTGCAGCTGATGCGCTGGGAAGTTCTGTATCCTACCCAAGGCTGTTGTCAAGGGAGGAGCCTAGGGGCTGATAGTCTCTAGATGCTCCAAGGCATCAGACAATGGCTGCCGTAAGAACTTGCAGTCAGACAGTTCAGATGCTCCCAAGGGCAAGAAGACCAGCCATCGGGATGAGGAGGACTCATCATCCAATAAAGTTTTCCAGGTGTTGGAAAGTTCCTCCAAACACATTCTGATAGGGTGTCTGTGCCAAGGAATGACAGGGAAAAGGCACAAAGATTGTTTAAGTGTTGCCACATGCTTTTTTTCCCCCACAGGTTTCTTTGAATGTGAACTATTCATGAACAGAATTTAAAAATTCTTCAAAAATTCTTTTGTCTATATTCAGAGGAAAATTGGCAAAATACTCTTTGTTTTAAATATGTTGGGAGAAGTTGATCAGATGATTCAGTGGGTTTGGTGGTTTGAATAAGAATATCCCCTATGGGCTCACTGATTTGAATGTTTGGTCACCAAAGAGTGGAATTATTTGAAAGGATTAGGGGGTGTGGCCCTATTGGAAAAAGCATGTCACTCGGTAGGCTTTGAGGCATCAAACTCCCATGCCAATCCTAGAGTCTCTCTCTTCCTGCTACCTGTGGATCTAGATGTGGAATGTTCTATTGTTGTGGAACAATCTTTTTGTACACTATGAATATGTATCACTCTCAGTTCCAACATATCTGCCTGCAAGGTGCCATGTTCCCCAACCTGATGACAATGGACTAAACCTCTGAAACTGTAAGCAAACCCCAATTAAATGCTTTCCCTTGTAAGACTTACCATGGTCATGGTGTCTCTTCATAACAATAGAACACCGACTAAGAAAGAAACTGGTACCAGGAATGGGGTATTAATGTGACAGGCCTGACCATGCTGCTTGTTGGTAGAATGTAGACTTTGGACTAGGAAAGCAGATGAACATATTAAGCAGACCTTAATGGAAAATGCTAGTAGGAACGTGAAAGACAGTGCTGCTGAAAGCAATGTAGATTATGATGGTCTGACTCAAGATGTTTTAAAGGAGAAAAATATTAGTATTTTTGGCTTGGAAATAGTGACTTAGAAACTGTTTTTGCAATATTTTGGCAAATAAAGTGACTACTTTATACCATTGTTCAGAAAAATCTGATTGAGGCTGAATTGAAGAGTTTTAGATTAATGGCATTGGCAGAGGAGATTTCAACACAGCCTAGCATTGCCTGTGTTGTATAGTTATTTGTGGTCACTCTTGTGCAGATCTATAATGAAAAGGAGCAAGCTGAGCAAGGAAAAAATACAAAAATATACAGTTTGAGGAGAAAAGAAAGTGGAATGGAGCTAAATATTGTGCTCAAGGATATAAAAAGTTTAAAGAAATGTCTGATGCTAAACGGAATAAAGGGAGTAATGACCAGCCATTTCATGAAGCTGTGAAGGTAACGTCTGGATTGCTTTGAAGACTCCTGGATGTTGGAGATGCCGGAGCTGTGGGATACCTGCCAAGGAGCACGGTAGGCTGGTTGTGAACCAGTCCTTGAGAGAGAGGTGTGTTAACATCAAATTGAAAAGAGTCAGCGATCTGAAGAGAGCTTTAACATCAGACACGGAGATGCAGAATTTGGAGTTTTTCCTGCTCATTTTCGGTCTTGCTTTGGTCCGGTATTTTCTCAACTTTTTAACTGCTCAGACAATCTCACCTTAATAATTAGCGTAGATGTCTCAAGAAACAAGGATACTATTTGTGCACAGGGCTTGCCCCTGGTTCTTTAACAAACAAATCTGTAAAATGACTTCCTAAGATTTAAATCTCTAATTGCCTTGAACTAACTCAGCTATTAATCGATTTTTCAATATACTAAAGAAATAAGGCAAGGACAAAATCAGTTTGTGGTTAGGCTAAGTGAGAAAGAGTACCAGGAAGTATTCTACATTATAATGGTAGTGATGATTATAAGACTGTAGAAATGGCCACTAGAAATAATGGGTTTCACTCTAAGTCCATTATAATGCAATTAAATTAAAGGAACAGATACTGAGTCCAATTAAAAGAAACTGCAACAATCTCAAAATTGGCTTTCATCCAAGTTGACGTGACTCTTCCTAATTCACTTAATAAAGACTGCATATTGGCACTTAAGACAATTTCATCATAAATAAAAAGAATTAAATGTGATTTTTTTATAGTAGACAAGTGTAAATCAAGCTACAAATGGTTCGCACATTATCCTATCTAACAGCACAGTGGGATGTCTAAAAATATTTTTAATTAATCTCAAGTCCAAAGTATAATTATGAAGACTGAGACATCTGTGGGATTTCTAACATTTCAGAGAAAACCAATGCCTGTTACTGTTTTCCTTTGAGTCATGCAGAAAAATGTACTTCTATTAGTTATTTTAAGTGAAAGAGATATGGGAACTGGAGACAAAGAGCTGATTAGCTGCCAGAAATTAAACAAAATGGACAAAAATTCTAAGTTTCTTCCAACCAAGACAAAGCCAACATAGTTCATAGTTCATAGTCACTGAAGCCAAGATCCTGGGCTCCTAGTCTCCTCTTCCAAAAGAGCACTTCAGAATTGGAACAAGTTTAGTCTAGTTCTGAATATCTCTCAAGTTTTTGGACCTAAAATTTCTTCACTGACTCTACCAAAACCTTAGAGTTATTGACCAGAATTGCAAAGATGCCCAGAGTAGTTCAGGAGTCAGAATCAGACAGACAGGAAGCAACTGTGCCCTCAGTAAAGAGAGGTAATGATCATACCAATGATTGGGGGTTAGTCACATTCTAGACAATTGATACCACTTACAAATTGAGAGCTGAGAATTTACTATCTTTAAAAAAGACCTGCACTTTAGGAACATCACATTTTACTAGTTATCTTTGCGCTGAAAAAAAAAAGTGGTCATTTAAATTTAAGAATAGATGACAAAAGGTTTAGAGTATTAAATTTCATCTAGCTTGAATCATTTTATTTCTACGGTCTGTGCATCCAAGTGAAAGGCACAGCTTTCCAAGCAAGGGCCATTTCACAGTAACCGAAAGCAGTCCAGTTACAAGAGCCCACCTCAAGAGAAAAGTCCCTTCAAGCTTAAAGAGCTAAGTCATGAATGAAGCTAGGAGTACTGAAGTCACAAGATCAAAATTCTAGAAATCATGTATTAAAATTATACATTTTCTTAGTAAGTATCTACTTATATAGGAGACAAAAACATGTTTTCAGAAACTGACACTGTGGCCATTCATTGTTGGGGAATATTATTTTAAGGTGTGTTGCTTTTGTTTATGCCGTATTTGTTTAACTCCGTGAAGCTGTGATTCTTTGTCTAAAACACCTGATGGTCTAATGAAGCGCTGAACAGCCAATGGAAAGGCAGGAGCAAGGATAGGGAGGACTGGAAGGCAGAGAGAGTAAATAGAAGAAGAACCGAGGAAGAGGGGGAGCAAGAGAACAAGGAGAGGAGGACACCAGGGGCCAGCCACCCAGCTACACAGCAAGCCCCAGAGAAAGAAGTAAAGAAAGGTATACAGACATAGAGGAAGATAAAAGCCCAGAGGCAAAAGGTAGTCGGGATAATTTAAGAAAAGCTGTTAAGAAACAAGGCAAGCTAAGACTGGGAATTCATAACTAAGAATAAGCCTATGTGTGTGACTTATTTGGGAGCAAAAACTTCACACAATTCATATATAAAAGCAATTAAATAACTATCAATACACAGAAGACCATCCAAAACTGAGACGTTTAGAGTCTTCCATTTTACTCTATTTTCATACTAAATATGTTCTCTGAAATGAAAAAAATGAATAAATACACCAAGTTTGGAACATCAGGGCTTTACTATTCTTTTTGCCAAAGACAAATGATTAAATATTTAAAGAATGCTAGTTTATTAAGGACTCCAGTGAGGTCGGTAATAAGAAACATCCATTATTTTATACACAGAATAAAGTAATTTTTAAAAGTTGTATAAAAAGACTATTGGGTAAAGCTTTGGTTGTTTTGTCTTCAAGACAGGGTCTCTCTGTATGGGCCTGGCTGTTCTAGATCTCACGCTACAGACCAGGCTGGCCTTGAACTCACAGAGATCTGCCTGCTTCTGCCTTCTGAGTGCTGGGATCAAAGGTGTGCACCATTATGACTATCAAGTAAAGTTTTAACAACCTTTCATATCATTAGTTCAAGAAATATTTTAATTGAACAAATCAATTATAATAAAAAAAGGGCTTATACTTTTATTTACTCTAATGTGAGGAAGACTTACTTACCTTTCTGAGCTTCCACAGCCAAAACTCTGCCCACGGATACTACAGAGATGGGGATTCCCATGCCCCAGTGGTTCTCAGATATTCTTTCAATGCAGTTCTAGGTTTAAAATATTATACACATGCACATGTGCACGCGCGTACACACACACGAACACACACGGGGGCAGGAGAGAGAGAGAGAGAGAGAAAGAGAGAAAGAGAATCTCTTTATATGAATCTTTATATGTAGTCATATAAAGATTTTTAAAACACCAATGTGCGCACTAAACACAGATTTCAAAAGCCTTCCTAGAACTTGGAGCTGCTGTTTAACCATCAGGCCCTACAGTTTTAACATTCAGAGTTTTCCACATCTACAAAGGGCTGAGTATAAGCATAAAGTGGGGCAGTGTGACTTAAAGAGAGGGCAGTAAAAGGCAAATGTTACTGACGTCAGCACATTTACCTGCCTTTGATTTGGTTTTAATTTCAGTCCCGATGCTGAGACAGAGTATAAACGAACCCTTGCCAGCAGATGGCGCTCTTCTACAAGAGCCACCATCACCTGGCCTGTGTTGTGTGTCCCCGGCAGCTCAGAGCCTTGCGGAAAAATTCCCTTGAGTATATACTCCTAGATTTCTACACACAAAGCAGCTATGGTTTAAAAAAAATTGGTATCGTCTATGTCTTGGTTTTGTTGAGTTAACACCTTCTGAGAGGTTTTCATTTGTTAGTCGTAGACTGGGTCGGACGCACGGGCACACAAGTGGGCAGAGAATAGCTATTCAGGGGGTTAAAGACAGCTGAAGGGAAATGGCAGTTAGGTTTGCATTGCAACCCTCCCCCCCATCCACATCACTGCAATTCTAATCAATCAACCAACCAACCAATCTGCCTTTGCAGACATTGAATCTTTCCAGGAATTTTCATTCATATTCAGAACTCTTCCCTTCTCCCAAAGGCTTCATAGTGGTTTAGGATCCTAATATTTGAGGTAAAGTAGACTAAAGTGATCTCCTGTCTCATGAATTGGGGAGTGGTACCCTAGAACACTTCAAATAGTACGGACGTCACTCTAGATCTACTTGTACCTGGGAGGATGGAGCCTTTTAATGAGGCAGGCTAAAGTCTCACGTGGTAGCCAACTTCATTGAGAGCCTCAGACAATTTATACTTGGGGGGATTAAGAAAAATCACGTAAGTAGAGTTCTCATGAGCTCAAGCTGAATGTAATCACGAGGATATGCCACACATGACAAGAGTGTGTTTTACCATGGAGGTGTATAAAGGACCGTTTGAACATTGACAAACAGCAGCAATCAATAATGAGCGATCCGAGGTAAACTCACCATCGACTACACCTGGGAGAAGCATGCAAATGCATCCCAGGAACAATTCCATGTTTGAAGAATTGAGGTCACAAGACTCTGGTGTTCTTGGAGTGTTCGCACATGCAAACACTCATAATTCTCCTATGACTCTGCTCCTGCACTGTATTTCAACAATAGCCAATAAGAAAGCAGCCATTGGTGGAAGGGGAGCTATTTAGAATGTAGTTAGGGACTATGCTGGTTGACTAAAGTGGTACTTGTAGGTTTATCTCCAATAGCCATAACTTCACTGGCCTTAGGTAATGTTAGAAACAACACCCATAAAGTCTCAGCAACACAACTGGCTAACCATGAGATGAGCAAGGACAAGAATAGACATGTCAGCGTGGATTGGGGAATGACCATGAGTTCTCACACTACATAGGAATTATAGGTAGTTACCCCGCCAGCCTGCCATTCAGTGACGAGGTGGCAAAGGCAGTGGTGGCCCCTCCAAATGCAGCACATTCCCTGTGTGACAAGTGACTTCCTTAAAAGGGTCCATCAGTCGGTTCGCTCTCTTTCTCTCTTGTTCTCTGTCTGTCTGTCTGTCTCTCTCTCTCTCTTATGCTCCCACTCTGAGACGGCCTTTCTCTCTTTCCCCTTCTCAATAAACCTCATTAACTCTGTTACAAGAGGCCTGATCTCTTAGCGGCCCACCCTGTCAGCCCTCCAGAGGTGCTCTCTCTCTTCACTTCATCATTAATACAGGCAACTAAGAAACATTGAGAGCAAGGGAAATATTTGCACCCAGGGAAGAGTACAACGATCAGGTTTCTAATGCCAAATGGTAATCCATGAAAACATGTTAACAGATAGCATTATACAGACTGAGCAGTTTATATTTAAGAATCTCTCTCTCTCTCTCTCTCTCTCTCTCTCTCTCTCTCTCTCTCTCTCTCTGTGTGTGTGTGTGTGTGTATACAACTGTTGCAGGGGGAGGCTTGCTTGTTTGGTTCCTGGCCGCCCGGCTA